AGGAACTACCTCCGTAGAAACAAGGCAAACAGGAAAACCCAAACCCCGTTTGTCTCCTTCCAACCAGGGTCTCTGGGAAACAAAGTAACTTCCACCACCATAGGCAGTGGTTGCGAACCTGCATTGCCACTGCTTACCAATCACAGGGTCTGCAGACACCAAGTAATGTCACAGCTCATTCCACCTCCATGGCCTGCGTCACGCAGGCCTCCTTGGCCGAAATCTGCAGGGCAGCCACGTGGGCTTCCCCCTCACCCTTTGTTAGAAACTATAAATTGGGCTCTTTTGCCTCGGTAGAAGCTTCGTTTGGCCACAGGGTGTCACAGGCGGTCCACAGGGCACGGGCCACGCCTCACCAGGCGTGAGTTGTGGGCATATTACCTCAGGGGTCTCCTTCCCTAGGGACGTGTAGGTTTTGGTACGTCCCAGTCTGGATACTCCTTCCCCCTCACTATGGAGAAAGGGCATTGGTACTTACCTGATACGCCTCTTCTCATAGTGGGGGGAGGAGTATCCAGCCCCTTCCTGACAGTGTTTTGTGACTAAGCCTTATGTTCGTTGTTTAAAGAATGTTATATAGATATTGATGTTTAAACCAATAAAAGCTAATAAGTGGAATAAGAGTCTGGAGTAAATGGTGCAACGAGTCGGATAGAGTTCTTCGCTGATAACTGGGTAGTACCTGGTGGCCAGGGGCGTGTCCCAAAGAGCTTATCTGACTCAATCCAATCAATGAGAGGACAAGATCAACCCAGTCTGGATATTCCCCCCCCCCACTATGAGAAGAGGCCTATCAGGTAAGTACCAACGCCCTTTCCCAACTACAGACTTGTGAAAAGGTAAACAAATCCATTGATTTTTAAAAACCTTTTCACTATATTGATCATATTCCCACCATTTTTGTTATAAGCCATGATTTAGAGTCTGATTCTGACTCAGAAGCTTTGAATATTGTGTGTGTGTGTGTGTATTATCACCAACTTTGAAAAAGAACAATTTTAAGGAAAACAAAAAGAATCACTATGAAGACCTGAATTGCTACAAAGGCACAAGAACTTAAAGAAATTGTTAATGAGGAATGTGGGAAAAATTGCCAAATTTAAAGAAAAAACCAAAAGAAATCAAGCTGGATGTTAGAAAAACCATGAAAATTATCAGGAAGAGAAGAGAACCTGAAGCCAAGAAACACAGAAATCTCAGGAAAGATCTTTTAACAAAGAATTTTAGAAAGCTGTTAGAAGAACAATGAAATCGGTAAAGACACCAAGATGGAGAAAGCCACACACACACACATACACAAAATAACAAACAAAACAAAAACCAAACCAAGGAATGTCTTCCAAAAGATTTTTGAGCTCAGATGGAGATTCTAACGTTGAAGTGATATGCTAAGGGCTGCCAATGGACAAACAGTAACTAATGATAAGAAGTACTGGAACATAACTCTGTTGGTTTAGATGCCATTTTACATCTATTTTCTGTTTAATTATAGCTTTTATAATTGCTAATGTAGTCAGAAGGAAGGCAGAATCTGTACATTTCTTTTGTATAATCAGAAAAAGGGGTGGCTCACCTGTCAAATTTGAATTTTCTTAATTGTAGTTGTGCCCAGTTACAGCAGTCACATGTGACTATTTATGTGATCTGTTTAAACATATTGTAATTATAGGTACGGTGCCTGTTTCTAATGAAAAAAGCATATCTTTGCTATGGATAGTATCTGGAGAGAAGAATGTGTGTACTAAATATTTTAATGGAAACAATGACTGATTTGGTTTTTGTTTTATAAGGAGAACACAAAAGAAACATCATCATGTGGATGGACCATCGTGCGGCTAATCAAGTAAAACGCATCAATGAGACACAGCATAATTTGCTGTCCTTTGTTGGTGGAGTGATGTCAGTTGAAATGCAGCCACCTAAATTGCTATGGATGAAAGAAGTGAGTTCAAGAATTCAATAGGCTTTGCCATTTTTGTCAAGAAAGATTGAATCTTCTAATCTGTATATCAACCGTTCTCAATCTGCTTCTTCCTAATGCTCCAGCCAATATCTCCAGCTGACTTAGTCAATCATTGTTTCTAACCTGGTCTTTTCCTTAGCCTTCTGTGGAAAGCATGTTGGGAAAGGCTGCTTCAAATGTCAAGAGATAATAAAATATAGAAGTATATCTATCAGTAACAACAACATTAAAGCAGGAAATTGCAATAATTTTCTAACGGTTCCTGCTTTTTATGTTGGCTGCTTCTAAATATAGTTATGATTGTTAAGATGGTTATTTTTTTAAAATTGGATTAAAATATTTAATATTTTCTCAGTTAGAAGACCTGGCATGTTGTATATTCATCTTTAGAAGACTGAGATCAAGCCTAAACTATTTGATAATGACAGAAAAATACATAGCTAAAAATAAAAGTGTTAATTAATATTCACTAGCTTCTATATATTTTATATCAAGAATGATAGGACTAACGTCTCATCCACTTCAGAATTCATACTGTAATTGGAATTTTTAATCATTCTGTTGGTTGTTTGGTCTTCTAAGAAGTAAATTGTACTGCAGAAGCGACATAAAGAAATGTACCTTTCTCCCTTTTCCCAATGATTCTGCTATCATTTTTGGATGTATAAGGATTTTGTAGTTATTCCTTCCTGCGAGGTGGCAAAACACAAAATTTAGTACATTATAGAAGTGCATATTATGGTGATGGGACCTAGGTGCCACATGCCTGGTATTATATTCAATAACAATATTAATGGGTATCCGCAGATTCTTGCTGCTTGTATGAAAATGACAAAGGATCATTGCATCCTAATGCTGTGAGCTCTACCTCTTTCGAATGTGAGTGTGATATCATAATGCATGTACAAAAGGGGCAGAGCTTACACTGCAACTGTTCACAATACTTAAATTAAACTGACCAATTTGACACAGCTGCAGGCTTTCATAAGGGAACCAATACGTTAGCACTGACTGTATTTTGGGCGCTGAGCAACCAGTCCACATTTACAGAAGTTTGCAGCATCCCGCAGTCACATGACTGCAATTTATAATGTTTTGCAAAAACCTGACATTTACTTTCATCAGAGTGAATAATGGATTAGCTGAAAACCCACCAATTTACTTAACCATTATGCTTCATGTAATGACTGCTGCAAAAAAGGTCAGAAAATTGGTTTGTCACTGGGTTTACCATACATGACTGTAACAGCAGACAAGTTTTGGACTACCTGTAATCCCTAAAATTTCCATTTAACTTGACTTGTTTCACCTGTATGAAACAGTCCTTCAACAATACGAAGTCAGTTTGCACATACAGTCACAGTCTAATCCACAGTCAAACTGGCAGTCTGCGGGCTGGATATGGTCCACGCAGGCCATGGCCACCCCAGCTCCGTAAAGGTAAAAAAAATCCTGATATGTCACGATACAGCCCGCAGTGCAGTCAGGTTTGACACCCCTGGTCTAATGTCTTTGTTAATTTACGTTTTTTGAGGTACAGGTTGATACCGAACCTTTAACATCAATTATCAAATGAAAAGGAAAAAAAAAACCCTACCATTTGAATTGTTTTATAGGTCCCACTTGTCTGGCTTCCATATTTAGTCTCAGTGAGGTTTTCTGTCTGTTAATAAAGACCAGTGTAGATTGTTCCCTGCCAGTTTCTAAGATCTGAAGTCTATTTTCCTGATTCTTAACGTACAGTGGGATTAGTTGGAGCTGCTGAAGGTCAAAAGAGTTAACTGGCAGAAGCTAAGAATTAAAAATTCATATTAATAGGGGTTAATTAGCATTGCTTGAAGATCCTGTTATGATATATGAATTCACTTAATCTGCTTCACACTCAGTGGTATTTGAATAATTTATAAGAGGTTTAGAAAAAAGCTTTGGGTTTCTATACCTGCTACTTAATGGTAACTAGAAACAGTAAAGAGATGAAGTTCAATGTTTGGGCTAGTAGCCTCAAGGAGAAAATTGAATCTTTTCAGCTAGTCCTCAACTTAAAACCATTTATTTAGTGATCAATGTTGCAATAGCACCTAAAAGAATGGTTTATGTTTTTCACACTTATGACTGTTGTAGCATCCCCATGGTCACAAGATCAAAATTTGGATACTGGTAGTGACCCGGGGTCATGTGATCACCTTTTGCAACCTTCTGACAAGCAAAGTCAATGTGGAAACCAGATTCACTTTACAACTGTGTTACTAAGTTAACAACTGCAGTGATTCACTTAACTGTAGCAAGAAAGGTTGTAAAATGGGGCAAAATTCATTTAACAACTGGCTTGTTTAGCACCAGATCTTTTGGGTTTAATTGTGGTCATAAATTGAGGATTACCCGTATCTCTTAATTCTGACTTGCTGAGAAAAATCAGCTTATTTCATCCTTTTGTTACCAGAAAAGATGTATTGCCACTTAGCACCATAGTGGAAGAAGAAAGGGAATGGGGCCAACAATTGCTGAATCACAGCCTGGATTAGGCATGACTTAATTTTAAAAATGCTTACCTGTTCTGACCCCCTCCTCTGTCCAATAACGAAAGCTGAGACACGCTTAATAAGAATGTCCTTTAATAACAAGACCAGACTCTCAGTGGCTGAAAGCCAAGTAAGCAAACAGATAAGGACCTTGGCAGC